GGCAATAATAACAATCCAACCGCTAAAAGCGAGCAATTTAGTTATAAGCAACCTATACAAATAGCCTTTAAGTCGTGTCCAACATAGGGACGCTACTAACTGAATAAGAATCCCGACAAGGGAGGATTTTATCAACTCGAGCAACCAACAATCAACAATCACGGCTACAAGTATATCAAGGATAATAACCCAAATACATTGCTTTTAAGCTTTAAAGAAACATGTCGTAAGTAGGGCATAACCTTAACATACCTTTTTCGCTAAGTTCACGTGGCCTAATGACTTTTACTCAATACTCCCTCGATACTACAACAAGGTAGGACCATAATCAACACACAAAAATAAAAGATACCATGACAATACGATAAAATATATGTATTTCCGTCGCAAATTGCTATTTGCTGCTTATAAAAGCTAGAGTCGATGAAAGAAGGGTATTACCTCGATCTTAAGGTCGTAATACGCTTCAAAACCTTCAAATATATCCAAACCCTTGCTGTCCCAACACTAAAGTGTGATATGCTACGCAATCAATAAAACAAATTATACTACGATGATGAGCCCAACGCGTAGAACAACTTTCGTCAAGGACTTAAGTCGAGAAAATCTATATTTCACTTGATCCTAGATATGAGTTTCTCTAATTTCTCTGTTTTTTTAGCTTAAAATGGTGAAAAAGGTCGAAGGAGAAGATATATGTAACATTCCATCGACTTAGGGCCCCACCTCATGCCTGCTTGTGCAGTCCCACGAAAATGCGAATATCTCTCTATTCTGAAGTCGTATGAACGAACGGTTTGATGCGTTGGAAACTAGATTCGTAGACCTTCGATTTCATAGCTTGCGGGACCATAACTCTTAATAGATTGAGAGAAAACATCCGAGACATTTGACTCAAATTTCAGACAAATCTTTAAAAAGAAATTTACGGTAACTTTCGCCAACTTTTATTTTGTCACTTACCTAACTTCAAAACTTGAGATACCACACTTGAACACTTAAAATATCACATAACACATCATTTTTAATTTATTACTCACCCTCCTTGTCTTTCCACGAAGATATGAGTTAATTTAGACGTTTTTAAAAGTCGGGGTGTTACATCAATAAATACAATGTGTAGTTACTAAACTATTCTTATTTAATAAATGTTTATTGAAAATTAAACAGTACTAAAAAAATGAAGTGTAAGGTATAATTGAAAAAATATTCTAATATTTGTTTTAAAATTTTAAGGTGATACTTATTTTGAGATAATTTTATTTTACGAAAGCAACACTTATTTTGAGATGAAGGAAGTATTACCTAAAAATTACTATAAGATAATTAAAAAAAAGTAACCACCTTTTAAGCTTACAACATTTTCTTTGGAGTTCCAAACATTTACAAGTGAAACACTAACCAAATATGTATCACGGAGTTCAAAATTTCCTATATGTTTGTTATCGCATATAGGCATTTATAAAAAGCTTTTGATTTTCTTTCTATTTTTCTCTAGGAAGAGGAAGACAGAGTATGATAAAGTTTTATGTTACGACTATTTTTCAATAGTTTGAAATAATTATATATTATCTTATTAATTAATAATTTTATATTAGATTTCAAGTCAGTTATATTTAGATATATGTATTTTTGCTATCAGATACACTAAAATAAGAAGAGAGATGAGTGAGAGAAAGGAGTAATGCGAGCGAGATCCCCAGATACATGCAAACACATGTATTTGAGAGAGGCGAGTGAGATAGGAGAGAACGATCTGCGAAAGAAGCAGATACATATGAATTCACTTGAATACAATGTATCTAGAACAAATTATATCTAATTTTGACTCCATGTATCCGACATACATGTATATGAACATATCTAGACGCCCATTTATATGTATCAAAATTTCAAAATCAAGTAAGATCCGTAATTTTGCAAACTAATGTAAATTTAAGTAATTAGCTCCTTAATTAGTGAAATTCGACAAGTTACCCTTTCTCTTTTGAGTAAATTAACCCACCGGGTCCCTCTTTCTTTTAAGAATTTTCAAAATTGTTAACGTTTCAACAAGAGTTTAGTTACTCAATTCCTTTTCAGTACACAAACTAAACGCAAATATTCCTATTTTTTTTTAAAATTTTTTTACCTTGTCTACTTCAAACATAAAGTAATAAAATAAATAATTGAGTTGTGAATTAAATGATTTTAGTGGTTGGCGGCAATATCACATGGCATGAAGGGTGAGGATTAAAAATCACGTTATTCATGAGCTGCGTTAGTAAGTGAATATATGTACTTTTAGTGCTCATACTTTATATTTACATATAAGTTTGTAGTTATGTGTCTTTTCAAATTCACTATGAATAAAGTTATTGAATTTTAAATTCATAATTTATAAATTAACATGGGGTTTAGACTAAAGCTATTTGCTTTCGTGAACTCGTAAGCTATACATTGATTTGGTCTTTTGTATATATATGTTATTTAAAATTAAAACTTATATAGAGTATACATAGTATTTGTTCCAATGAAAATTGAGTTAATAATTAATATATGTAACCTTTGTGATGATTATCCTTTTAAAATTTACTAATTGAAAAAATATTATTTTGATTCTCGAATTAAATAATTTCAAGTTTGATGGAATCGGATAAGGTGGATATCCAGATTTAAGTTTGAGATATGTACTCTCAAACTTCAAAGTTATTTCTGAAATATTTTACCTTATCTTGCCTACCGAATAGCATAGTTCTCTAATGTTTAGATTTAGTTTAGAAAATTGATTTTGAGATGAGTTAAGTAAACGAAAGCAAATATTCAATCCTCAATTTGAAATCGATGATTTATTGCATTACGGCGTATAAAATTATTTAAGAAACTTTTTAAAAGTAGCAATAATTAAAGCATCTTTTTGGCTCAAATTTAGCTCTTTAGCCATTGATATTGAGGAGTATAGGGGGAAATTATTTTTTCCTACATTAATTGAATCCAATGGCTTTATATATATACAATATAAAATAAAATATATTTATCCGATTATGAAAACTTTATGCCTTTTAAATAACAACGCAATAATGGAACTGAAGGTAAAAGAGTAAAACTATAGTTCAAAATTCAAATTAATAAAATGTGACCACACATTGTATAAATGCTCTTTTGATCACACAATAAACTCAATTTTTAACTTGGGCAATTATTTAGAAGCCGTAACACTGCTGAAATATCAAAAAATCATATTTCGTTGGAATATAATTAATACATTTTCCAATAATTGAATTTATCATATTAAAAAAAATCACACAATAAACACGTCATTTTATTAATTACTATTTTTTAAGAACTAGACTTATCCAATTTTTCTATTTTACTTTTCCCTTTTTATTTGTCCATTTTGACAAATCAAGAAAGGACAATTTTTTTTTACCTATATACGCTCAATTAATTAATTTTGCAAAAAATAGAATTTCTTGAAGATCTTAAAAAGTATGTTGATTCCAAAGTGGAATGTAATTAGGGAAGGAGGGAACAACAAAAAGTTGAAGATATTATTGTGAAGTGTAAATAAACTGAAAGAACGGTACTTGTATACTACTCTCTATGTCCCAATTTATGTGATATTTTTTGTTTTTCGAGAGTAAAACAACTTAAATTTGACCGAAAATTTGTGAGTGGAATCTTTAATTTTTTTTAAATGAAATTAATATATTTGTAAACTACGTAAAAAGTATTATAAGTCATAATAATTGACAATTCAAAATAATTAAAAGATATATGGAAAATTTACACTAAAAAATAGACTTGTTTAAATTTTAAAATTCGAAAAATGTGACGTAAATTGAGATGGGGGAGTACCATTTACGCTGAAAATGGCAGGCCAATAAAACTACTTCGTCCTGCGAGACATTGATTTCTATGGACCAAAAAGTATGACAAACAGATTTAAATACCACTTGTAGTCTTGTTCGAATTTTAAGAGTCAAAAGTAATTTATTTTTTACGGTAATTTCTTCATATGTTTTTTTCTAAAAAATATCAATTATTGTAACTTTTATATATATATGAAGATTTTTTATGCTCTATCATTAGAAGTTGTTTATGTGATGTATAATTAAGGGAAGACATTATTTGTGTCATAAGATTTTAGTACCTTTTAATTCTTTGTTTGGTTGCAAATTGTGGGATAACTTATCCTATGTTGTTTAGTATCAAGGATACGTTATCCCTACATATGGGTGTAATAGTAATATTGGAATATCTTATCCTGAAATAAAATATGTAACATAACAATAGTATCCCCTTAAATCCATGACACAATCACACAATTTTTTTTGAAAGCTAAATAGGATGATTTATTTTTTAAAGAATGAACAATTAAAGCTTGCAAAGAAAATATTAAAAAATAAAATAAAAATGGAGGATATTTTTGTAAATAAATAAATTATTCTTAGAAATTATACAATGACTAATAATTTAAATATGACAAACCAAACAAGTAATAAAAACTTATCCCAACATAACTAATCACATCCTAACTTGTTTTCGAATCAAACAACTCCTTGTAGTTTAATCTGTGAGAGTAGATAGACTAGTAACCATTTTCACCAGCTTAGTGTTTAATCAATCATATAGTAGTAATTACGTTATAGATGACTAAATTTCTTTTTATAGTTTATATGTGAGAGAACTTAAACTCTTTTAACACTGAAAACAAAATCATTTGTGCTACCTAGTCATAGTCTCATAGATTATGCTAATTAGACAAAAATGTCTCTTCTTTTTAATTGAAGAGTACAAGTTCCATAATTGTTTTTGGTATCTATGCGGCTTACGGGTAGTAGTTGAAGCTATAATACTTAAAGCGCATCAATGCGACAGCAAGAATGTAAAGTACCTTACTACTTAACATACAAGGAAGAATATATGCATATATAAAGCCCTTTAATTTGCCTCTTAGTACCAAGGCAATGACTTTAAAATAGAGAAGAAAAAAAAGTTGTTTAATTCACATGAAGATGATGGGCAAGGGAATGAGGATAGGAGTGTTGGCATTGGTTTGGATTTGTGTCTTAGGGGGAAGTTTGGTTCTTGCTAGAGATTTAAAAAATGAGGATGAGAAGTTTTTTTGGATGGGTAAGGGAGGTGGATTTGGTGGAGGGTATGGTAGTGGGGTTGGAATAGGTGGAGGCATGGGTAAGGGTGGTGGAGTTGGCAAAGGAGGTGGAGGTGGAGGAGGGTTTGGTAAGGGTGGAGGCATAGGAGGTGGATATGGAAAGGGTGGAGGCTTTGGAGGTGGATTTGGAAAAGGTGGTGGCATTGGAGGAGGATTTGGAAAGGGTGACGGCATTGGAGGTGGATTTGGAAAAGGTGGTGGCATTGGAGGAGGGTTTGGTAAAGGCGATGGCTTCGGAAAAGGTGGCGGTATTGGAGGAGGGTTTGGAAAAGTTGGTGGCTTTGGAAAAGGTGGTGGCTTTGGTAGCGGCTTTGGAGGAGGATTTGGAAAAGGTGTTGGCATCGGAGGTGGATTTGGAAAGGGTGACGGCATTGGAGGTGGATTTGGAAAGGGTGACGGCATTGGAGGTGGATTTGGAAAAGGTGGCGGCATTGGAGGAGGGTTTAGTAAAGGTGGCGGCATTGGAGGAGGGTTTGGAAAAGTTGGTGGCTTTGGAGGTGGATTTGGAAAAGGTGGTGGCTTTGGAGGAGGATTTGGAAAAGGTGGTGGTATTGGTAGCGGCATTGGAGGTGGATTTGGAAAAGGTGGTGGCATTGGTAGTGGCTTTGGAGGAGGATTTGGAAAGAGTGGTTGGATTGGAGGAGGGATAAGCAAAGGTGGAGGAGGATATACAAGGGGTGGAGATTGTATTAGCAAAGGTGGGAGCATTGGTGGTGGCGTAGGCGAAGGATTTGGTAAAGGTGGTGGCATTGGCGAAGGATTTGGTAAAGGTGGTGGCATTGGCGAAGGATTTGGTAAAGGTGGTGGCATTGGCGGAGGATTTGGTGGAGTTGTTGGAGGGGGATTCGCTAAAGGTTATAATGGCATTGGAGGTGGTATTGGCAAAGGCGGTGGCATTGGTGGAGGATTCGGTAAAGGCGGTGGCATTGGGGGAGGAGGCTTTGGCAAAGTTGGTGGATTTGGAGGTGGAATAATTGGAGGACATCACTAAAGTTAATGTCTTCAGTTTGCATGAACTCAAAACATGCAGGACTTGAATATTTTTAAGAAAAAGATTGGTTTTCTTTTCAATAATTAATTTCCATTTGTGTTATGTAGCACTAGTATTTGTTATTCACAAATTATCAATGAAATGAAATCGTACTTGATTAATTCTTCACCTATTCATTCGTCTAAATATATATTTTTTGTTTTAATTTATGTGTCATAATTTTTTTTAAAATATGTTTTGGAAAGAATGTCATATTTTAATTTGTTTTTAACTAAAAGTAATTTGACCTTAGATTTTTGTTTTATCTCTAATGAATTGATTTACCGTCACAAATTACATATATAATACATAATACTACATGTAATGTTTGATGTTATCATGCACTCGTCAAATGCGTCAAGGTGAAAGCATGAGAGTACGTACTTTCACTTGCAAGAAAATGGTTGAGTAAATTTATATGTGCAACACAATTAAAAAGTGTAGTACTTAATTATAATTCTATAACAATTATATTTTAAAAAAAATCATAACTTTTATCACCAACAGAATTATTTCATGAGGCAGTACTCCGATTACATATACTTTCCAAGAAAAAATAATATATGGTGGTGGAGACTAATTAGGGTATGTAGATTTTGATTTGATTGCTAAATCGAATCGAATCGAAAAAGATATTAATAATAATTTTTCGCTATTATCGGATTATCAATTTAATGATTCATTCATTCTTATAGTAAAGATTTGAAGATTTGGTTGAACATTTTCTTAATCTTTTTGTTTCTTTAATTCCTTGTTATGCTGATTATTCAAGTGTACTGTAGTATATTATTCCATGATTTTAATCTTGTTTATGGGAATGTTTATTATTAAAGTTTGAATTAAAATCTCTTATTTTTACTTATGTATTGAATGGTTTTTATTTCTAATGAAGCATAAAACATAAAATAAAAATGAAATGTAATATTGTCTAGCTCTAACAATATGTAACAAACTTTATATAATTCATTATATCATATGTGTGACTCATTATATTTTATCCATATGTACTACTTGATAGAAGAGCATGTGGTTTACCAACATGGAGAAGTTTCGGGTTCGAGCCTTGAATATTGAGAAAATCCTGTTAGGAGCACTATCCTCTAATGGATCCTATAATACACAATTTGAATGTAATATGACTCCAAACACCGGACAAAAAAAAAAAGCATATGGTTTCAGCTGAGGCAATTTTTTTGTTTCCATTTGGGGGATCACTGCAGAAGTGGATACCTCTGATGAAATGAAATAGGTACCTTGATAAAATCTTTATCTCTAATTCTTAATTGTGAATTTCAATTCGAGTTCATAAAGTTATTTTATATAAATTAGTATTGATTTTTTTCACTCATATCAAAGATATCTTATTTTTACTCCAAAAAAAATAATATCAAATAGACCTAACTATCTTACTTCCAATGGAACCAAATTCTATCTCGAAGAAATTTATCTAAATAATTCATCTTCCATCTCCATCTTAATTGACTTATCAAAAATACTTGTTTTTTACCTTGCTTCATAATGAAACTTTGTCATTGCTAACAACAGATTTTTATTAAGTTTAAAGAATGGATTTTCGCAAATAAACTCCTTTTTTAGTAAGTATTATTGCAAAAGATTGATAATTTATTGACTAATCTAAACATGAAAATTTGAATGATTAGGTGAAGTTTTTGAATGAAATGCTTGAGTTCAAGGAAGAAGACGAAGTCAATTTTTCATGTACATAATACATAAGTGTACACGTACCTCTTATAATGTTGTATAATATTATATATTATTTGTATAATATCGTATATCAAGTTTTATAATAATTTTTGTAAAAAAGATGTATGAAAAATTGTATATTGTTATATATCAGATGTATAATTTATGTATATCAAATTGAATTTTGACTGAAAATTTATAATGTAAGTTTTGGGTTATATCTTGGTGAAGTAAATTACATAATTGTATTCTCTTTTTTTGTAATTCTTTCCATTTAATTTATATTCTTTATATTACACAAAATGACTAAAGATAAAATTAATTTCAAAATACATACACTAGATTAATTTAATTAAAAGAGTACTCTTTTCGAAAATGAAAATGAAATGAAATATAGCACGTGCAAAGAGGCAAAATAGTTCATAAATATTCTTAAAATAAAGAAAAGTAAAATAAAACAATAAATCTTATTCCCTCCGTCCCATTATATATGTCACCTTTTTACTTTGCACTTACATTAAGAAATGATGTAATGCCCTTCTACTCTTGTTTAATTTTTTTGAAACTCAAGTTTTCAATCAATGAATATGAATTAATTTATTTTGATTAATTAATTTAACCAATGAACATGAATAATTTACTTAACTTTTCTAAGTTGGTAAAATGTATGTTTTCAATGCTAATAACTCACAAGGGTAAAAAAGGAACAATATGCTAATTTATGCATTGATTTTATGAAATGACAAATACTATGAACCAACTATTTATAGAAGGAATGATATATAAAATAGGACGGAGATAGTACTATATTTTACACACATTAGGCAACTGACATAAACATTTTGAATTGAAGGCCTTTTGTACCCAAAAGTCAATAATTAGACCCCACTCTATTCCTTCCCCCCATTAGCCTTTTCCTAAAGCAGCCATTAAAACAATCATTATAATTAAAAATTAATTAAATCAGCTTAACACTGTAAAGGAATTAAAGACTGTCTGACATTACTAATTTAATGTTAAAAAATTATTAAGAAAAATCTCTGTCACAATTGATTATTTTCTTTATCATAATTTATGTGACAATTTAAACTTTAAAAACTTCTTTAAGGCTCTACAATCTATGTATATTTGAATTAATCATTTTTTTTTGGTTTTAATTTTTCATATTGGAGCGACTAAATTTGATATTCGCGTAGAAAAGTTTCATATTAGGATAAAATATGACTTAACAAAGGTAACTCGTACCTATAAAATTAGAACTTGAAACTTCTGATAAAAAATGAAACGTGTATTTATCGCTCTATCACAACTCTCTCGTATGAATGAATTAATCAAACTTCTCTACATATATGGAAAATGTGGAAGAGAAGATTTCAGATTTCAGGGTTTGTTGGGTGTCATTTAATGCATTCACTACTTGTGTCTGACTTCTGAATCTTCTCTTCTACAGTTCTACTAAACGCCACAGAGGAACAAGTTGAAAACTTTGTAATAAAATACTGTAACAATTTTGTTAAGCTTTGGATTCTTCGTTTTTTTTGGGTTTAACTCAGTCAAGAAAATCAACCCAAAAAGCTTTAATCTTTGGAAGAAATGGGTAGTGGAGGCTTGTGGGCTCAGCTCAGTCAATGCTTTTTACCAATCAAAAGGTACTTTTTGATGCTCTGATTTAACCCTATCTTTCACTTCACTGTTTGAAATTGATTACTTTCAACCATTTGTGTGATGTGATGCAATGGGTTGTTCTTTTCTTGAATATTTTAGCTTTAGAAAATTGAAATTTTCCCCTAAAATTCTCTGTGGAAATGATGCAACATGTTCTTTGTGGATTAGGTTAACTGAAGCTCTGTTTGGGTAATATTGGTTCTTCCCTTAATTGGATTTTGCTTACTTTTAACACAATTTCATTATGTTATGGCTTTACAAATCTTGGAGATTTTGTTCCATTTGTTTTAGGGTCTTTGAATTTAGGTGCAACATTTCTTCAACTGTATAATTTTTGTTTAGTTGGGTATATGTGAAATCAACACAATTCTACAAGGAGAAGGAGATTGAATTTTGCCTAGTCTTTCCTTCGACTGTATAGTTGTTTTTAGTTGGGTTTACTTTTTTGTATTTTCTTGCTTTCTTCTCTTATGCTGTTGTCTCCTGGATAAAATATCTTGGGCATAATACATATACAGACACTCAAACTTGACCTTAGCTGACAAGTAAGCATGGCTAGACACCTCAACTCGTCTTCACTTGTCAGTTGAACACTCCAACTAACAAAATGATCATATAGACACCTTCAAATTTATGTGTCACGCCAGCATGGGGTGTCCACAAGGCACGATAAGGACGAGTTAGAGTGCCTAGTTGCCAATTGAGACCAAGTTGAAGAGTCTTGATGTGTGCACTCTCAAAGTGGGAGTGCTTACTTGCCAGCGGAAGCCAAGTTTGAGTGTCTATTTATGTATCATGCCAAATAACTTATCTTTGTTTGCTGAGTCTGATTTATGTTCCATTTGGGGTTCTGATACGTTTTGTGAGCTTTTATGATTCAACATTTCAGGGTAATGAGACAGAATGAGTGTTAAGTATTGGGTTTACAAGCAGAAAATTAATTTAAGCCTTAGATTGCGGAAGATGATGAAGTGCATTTGCTCAGGGGAACAACTAAGGATTGAAGATATTATTCCATCATCCGAGTCTCTTGCAACTCGGGACTATTCAGCTAGTGGGTATTCTTCGCGAGCTGGTGATGACGCCAAGGCAGACACCAGTAACATAGAAGAAGCAGAATCATCGCTTCGTGAGAGTGGCATTTTGAATTATGAGGTTGGTGTCACAAAAGTTGTTTATGATGAAGTTAGCTTCCCTTTCGATCCTATAATTAATATCTTTTTCATGATCAGATGTTATCATCACAATTTTCGCCCCTCAATTTGATTTGATGCATTACTCAAGTTGTTTTATTATGCATGCGGGATGCTAGGGAATTTTTCAGTTGATAACGACAAATCTTGTTTTGTTATTAGATAAATCCCATCACTAAACTGGTTTTGGGAAAACTGAGATTTGTTTTTCAACTGAGGCACAGGGAAGAAAAGTCCCTGCTCTGTATGCTTTATCATGTTTCATTTTGTTCAAGTATCAACCGTAAGGATTTCTTTAATAAATGAAATGCAATTTGTGGGCATTATACTCGTTATTAAGACGCTGTTGTAGAGTTAGTCCTGCTAACTCTCTTTTAATGGGCATATGAGTGACATGTG